TAAAAAATCGCGTTGAGTTTTGAGAGTTCCTGTTTTTCTGTTGAAGGTGTTTCGTCTATTTTCCATGCAAAATATTTTCAATTTTTTTTTGTATAAAATGCGTGACAAACATTTCTACATATATCAACGGTAAGTCCTAGTGACTTCGAACTGCACTTTATTATATTAAAATTTAATGGGCTACAAAAGTAGAAAGTCTGAAAAAAAAATCTACACGTTGTAGAAAATTCTCTGTACAAATACTTTTTAATCTTAAAATTTGTTTTTACAGTATTTTCGGTCTCATAGGCTTAAAATTGTGTCAAAAGAATTACAGAAATTTTTATGACCGTTGTCTTTATTATTTAAATAAAGGAGTAGTCTGAATTTAAAAATTAAAATGAAGAACAACTCTGCCACACCCTAAAAGTTTCTTGTGTGTTTAAATTGCTACAAGATTTTTCAATTTTACCCAGTTCTTGAACAAAATGTTTGAGCTAGTACAGTTATTCACGCAGGTTCTGAAATTCACTTCCGATTGAAAAGGACTCAAGTTCACTTTGAATGTACATATATTTTGGTGTTCGGTATTTCTCATTTTTTATGTTTCAATATCACTTACTCACTGTAAATAAATCAGTAAACATCTCGGGACCGCGGAGCTGTAATCCCGGCATTTGGAGACAGGACCGCGTTTTGTTGGAACAAATTCTGCTATTATGCACCTTCTTAGTTTTTTTATATTCTTGGCATAGTTCAGCTAATTGTTAGTCTAAAATAAAAGTTGTCTACTTGTTTTTTCATTATTTTTACTTACTATGTATGAGTTAATGTATGGATGTGTATGCTTTGAATTTCTCAATAGTTAAGTTTTAATTGCTTTTTCAAAACAACTAAAATTATGTGTTTATGACTTGAATGAATATTGCAAAAATTCCTTTTTATTACCAATCTTACTCATATTGTTTTGGCAAGTGGAACGTACCATACAGGTTAACATACATTTGGTGTGTATGTATGTATGTATGTATATATGCATATAAGTTGAAAAACCTTGTGCATATTGCACAAGCGGGACATAAATACTATAAGAGCGAAAATGTAATTTGTAATATATGTATACATATACAATGCATATGTATGTATTTACTATGTGCAAATGTATGTACTCTTAAGCACAAGCTTTTAACTTATGACATTAGTTGTCATACATTTTCAAGCAATAAATTTAAATTACTGTAGTTTTTAAATATATATATGTTTTTTTTTTAACTTCCTTGCTTAACCTCTGTGTACGATTGTGTGATGTGTTGTACGATGTAGTTGGTACACAATGCACAAGAAGAGTGCAGTATGTAATACCATGTATGCAGAGAGCACTATTACACTACTTGCACTTGTGTAAAAAATACCCGCAAGGCTAACAATGAGTATTGATTTTAAAACAATGAAAACGGGGATTTGTGTACCTTCATTTTTACCGGTGAAGTAACCAAAACTAGCCCCATTCCAATCACAATTCTGATTACATGGAAATCTATCTATATTTTTTCAATTGTTCTAGCTCATTCAAATTTGAATTTTATTCTAATTGGGATCCTACCAAAATGGTTGGATTCCATGATAGTCAATATACATAATAATCATATTTTGGCGCTTACACTTTTGCTTAGTGTTTGGCCGAGCTTCTCCTCCAATTTGTGGCGTATTGATGTTGTTGCACAAATGTAGGGACGTACAGTTTGACGCCGTCTCCGAACGGCATATGGATGTTAAACAATGCGTAAAAGTGATCCAAACGCTTTATGGAAATGGTCGTTCTGAAAAAAGTGCATTTTGGGCATTGCTCATGCTGGTATGGAATAAATGGGTACCTTGCGTACGTCTAGCTCAAGGATGAAACTGAGATTCAACTAGACCTCTGTGTATTTTCATGGACAGCGCCAGATTGGCAACCGTTTCGTCGACGGTACCAACGAACGTTGACAAGACCATTATAAAGACACTAAACTGTCTTCGAGAAATCAAAGACAGCGCGAAGACAATGAGGGAAGTGTTAATAATGTATTGTAAAACAGTGTGAATGCCAAATATGCAGCCAAAGTAACAGCTGATTTTTGCGTATCAACGCAACACATACTTTTCCGGTATTGGCGTACAAGTTCCCAATCTGACGGCGCTAAAAGTGTGGAGGAGGGCGCGACCATTATGCATTCTTATAAGTGAAAAAAGAATCAGATGTTTCCCAGAAGCACCTCACAGCTGTGATGACCCGATTTCAATTACTATAGGCTTATACATAATATCCATAAAAAACTTTTATGCATGAGCAATGAGACACATTTTCACCTAAACGGATACGGTGACAAGCAAAACAACCGCATTCGGGGTACTGGAAATCCACATGCCATTCAAGAAAACACGATTCATCTGCAAACTTTTAATGGCCTGAATTAGCTGGCATGGCCTTGGACAATACGTGGTTTCAACAGGACGGTGCCAATTGTCACACAGCGCATTAAACAATGGCCATTTTGCGAACGAAGCTCTCGGGTCACATTATCTCAAGAAGCAACGGGATCAAATGGCCGCCGAAATTTGGCTACGTGAAAAGCATGGTCCATGCCAATAAACTCGGACGATTCCAGAGTTGAAGGATAAAAACATATGCGTTATAAATGATATACAGACCGAATTATACCAAAGAGCGTAGATACCAAGAAGAGATAATTCGTTGTAATAGTTGCGTTCCCCAAGAAGAAGCCAGAGAACCGAGTCAGGGAACGCTTTCTGGTAAATTCCTGCAAATTCTTGCAACTTCTTGCGAGTTGGGGAATGAAACTAATTGCAGCAAAAGTGAGTACCAAGGGCGTGCCTTCTCTTTTCATCCAATTAAAAAACGTTCTAGAGCGAAAGAGAAGGCACGCCCCTGTTGCTTACTTGCGCTACAATTATAACGAGTTGTCCCTTCTTGTTATCTACGTTCTTTGACTATATCATAACGTCATGGAAAATTTTGATATGCGCATCCTATGTTGTCGTGGTGGGCGTTTAACGGATATTGTGTTTCATACAAAAATGCTATAAGGTGCGTTCGACAAGTCAAAAATTTGTAATAGTTTTCCAAATTTTTACTGGATGACGTTCGATAACGACAAAAAATTATCCAACACCCAAAAATTGAGAGAGCAAGCGTTCCTTTTGATGCAAGAGAAGCGTTCAAAAATTTAGTCAGCAAAAATTATCCAACACGAAAACATATGATCACAAAACATATGGTTGCAATTTCTGTAACAAACAAAATTGCATTTTCCGAGTTTTAGTATTTATATGCTTTTTGGCTGCCTGCTATGTGACTTTATTATAGCGCCAACTAGTTTTTACTTCTAGAAATGTTCCTGGCGAACATTGAACGTTCAGTTTCCTTTTTTCTTCTATGGAGGCAACATGAATTTCAGTTTGTTTACAAATAAAACATAAACAAAGTCAGCTGGTGTGTCTTCTTCTTCCGGTTTTTGCAAGTAATGGCTAATTTCCTGTTCGTTTACTTTTTTGCTTTTTCATCTCTTTGGGAGAGAATTTTCGCTTACTGTCTTTATTTTGATTGTTGGCTGGTGTTGGCTAATTTTGTTATCGAACGCAACTATAGACTAAAAAACATGATGAAATAAAAAAAGCTTTTCCTTCTCTGTGATCTTACTAATTCAACATACACATATTTATGCAGGTACATATATGTATATGTAGTTTCATATGTACTGTGAGTATTTCAGATTTTTTTAGACCGAAACCATTCAAGAGAAAATTATTCAAGCATAATGTTTTTGTAGGCAGTTTCTTCTAAGCCGAAGAAAAATGGGCAACTACTAGTGTATACAATTTTGGTTAAACGCATACATATGCATCCATTGTATATGTGTAGATAATTATATGCATGTGAGTATATGCACGTACATATGTAAATAAGGGTGGTTCAAAAATGTTTGTTAAACAAGAATGGTCCGAATTTTTAATGCTCTTGTATCCTTGAAAACGGGGCACCCCCCCCTTATTTATGCACTCAAAACTTCTAGAATAAAATATGAGCATTATGAGCATTCTCTAAATTTATACTTAGAAACGTAAAGTTTGGTATGAGCATCTTTTTCTGCAAGCGGCAAAATTTCGGAAGGTGCCCCGAGCCCTATTTCGGTATTTTATTTTTTGAACCACTCTACTGTACATAGTATGAACATTATAGCTTTCTAGCGAAATTTCAAGATTACACTTGAAAATTTCTACAAAACTTAATCAAAGTCCATAATACAAAGCGACTTACATTGTTTCGTAAAATATTTTACGCCAAAACCTTCATTTGCGTGTGCGCGCTGCCTTCAAAAGTTCCATTAGTAAAGTGTTAGTGTCAGTTTTAATTGTGGGTCATAATGAAATAGCGTAATAAATAATATCATTAAAATGAATAATAGACAATTAACTAAAGGCAAAAAGTTCATACCCCCACAAGCTTTCTCATATCTCATAGTTAACTGCTGCACCAAGCCTCATTGGCGATACCGAACGACTACGTACATACATATGTAGTCCATTGACATCCGAAGGGCTACAAGGCCGTAGGTGAAGTGTCACAGGGGAGAGCAGAGCCGAGCGTTTGTAACAATGTAATTTTTGACTACCATTAACTGGCAATTATGCAAATTTCTACCAGATAACGACATTCAATTGATTGTGTGAATCTTGTATATCTGTACGCCTGTGTAGTCGTATAAAAAAAAAAAATGCAAAACAAATTTTAGTCATTCAAACCGTTGACTGGCAAATCTCATATATCTTGCTTTGAGAACTGGAAAAACACTTTATTTACATACACATGTACATATGTATCTGGGTATATTTGTTGGTGCTGTTGGCGACCACAGATGTTTCCACAGTTTTAACCGTTTCGTTGATCAATGACCATTTGAATACTAAAAATAAATATCTGTAATAAAAAATGTAATTCTTTATTTGTTTCTCTTCCGCAGGTTAAAAGCGAAGAAGTGGTCGAAGCGTACATCGAGCGGTGTAAGCAGGTGAATCCGTTGATTAATGCCATCGTACAGGATCGCTTTGAAGAGGCGCTGGAAGAGGCGCGCGAAACTGATCGCATTATCGCCTCTGGCATCAACACCATCGAGGAGATGGAGGAGAATACGCCACTATTGGGCATTCCAGTGACGGTTAAAGAGAGTATAGCTGTTAAAGGTTTAACCAATCAGGCGGGACGTGTCTTCAAGACGCCACAAATTGCCAAATCCGATGCGCCGGTGGTGGAACAGATCAAACGTTGTGGTGGCATAGTATTGCTAGTATCCAATACACCAGAACTTTGCTTACTCTGGGAGACCTACAACAATGTAACTGGCCAGACAAAGAATCCCTACGATTTAAAGCGCACGCCCGGTGGTTCTTCGGGTGGTGAAGCCGCTTTATTGGCCAGCGGTGCTTCGTTGTTGGGTCTTACCTCCGACATCGGTGGATCCTCGCGACTGCCAGCCATGTTCAGCGGCATATGGGGTCATAAGCCAACCCCCTACTCGGTCTCGTTCAAAGGCCACCATCCGACCAGTGATTATCCCAAGTGGGGAGACTTCTTCACCATTGCGCCGATGACACGTTACGCCAAGGATTTGCCGTTGCTGCTGAAATGCATGTTGGACCCAACCGGTCCCAAGCTAACACTCGAACGGGAGTTGAGCATACAGAGCATACGTTTCTTCTTCATGGACAACGATGGTCCGTCGGGCATGATGCGGCCGCTGAGTCGCGATCTACATGCCGCCATCAATCGCGTGGCCACCGATTTCAATGCAAAGCGCGTAAATATACGAAAAATGAAACTTTCACTCGACATTTCACTCTCCGCAATGTTGACCATGAAGAACATCGAAACCATCTACTACAAAACTGAGGAAGGCGAACGCCCGAAAACCGTTTGCACAGAGACCGTTAAATATTTCTTCGGTTGCTCGGATAGCATCCTGCCGTCGGTGATATTCGGACATCTGCAGAATTTCATGAAAATCATACCGAATTCACGCCACAAGCACTTGGCCACAATCATTGAAGCGCTCAAGACTGAATTCAAAGAGCTGCTCGGCAACGATGGCGTCTTTATCTATCCAACATTCCCGAATACGGCGCATCGGCACTATCAAATCTATCACAAGCTATTGGAGCCCATGTATATGGCGATATTCAATACGCTCGGACTGCCGGTCACCAACTGTATGATCGGTTTGGATAGACGCAATCTGCCAATGGGCATACAGGTGGTCGCGAATCCAGGACAAGATCATCTCTGCCTAGCAGTGGCGCGTGAAATGGAGCGGCGCTATGGTGGTTGGGTACGGCCGCCGTCAGAGGACGCAACGAAACGCATATGAATGATTAGCGGAGAACGGAAGAGTGTGAACTTGAGCGTATGAATGTTGCGAAGCACTGGACTCCCTACGGAACTGTGTCTGGAGTGTGTAAAAATTTTGTTAGCAGATTTGAAGCAATAATGAGCAGAGCAGCCTTTAAGTATGAATTATGTACAATACATATTTAGGTGCGTAAAGTATTTGCTATAAAAATTAAGGATTTTTTTCACAAATCTGCATGGAGCTTAGCATACACTTAGGCGTCCAGTTTTTAAGCTTTAAAAAGCGACTGATGTTTCGAAATATATATGTAACAGTAGTTTTACTATGTATGTGCTTATCTTAGAATTAATCTACTTACTTAGTAACTTGAGAACATCACATGGGTACTTGCGATTGTGATGATTTTGGTAAGCAAGTGTGTACATTAGGGTAATCCAAAAATAAACAGGAAAATCAGCTTATTGAAATTTTTCCGCTGCCATCCCCAGAAATGAAAAATATTGAAAATAATCGGAGCCATTTTTCTTTAAAGCGGTGCCGACGGGTCTTTGATATTTTACATATCTACATACATATATTTTACATGGGAAAAATATACTTTTTCGTAGCAAAACTATAAAGTCCTCAAAAATAAATATCTTTTGATCGAACAGGAATATTTCTCTTTAAAAATTAAAAAGAAGATAATTTATGATGCATATGTATTTCCGAATACATAAAAGAAAAAGCTTTTTAAATTAAATATTTTCATAATATCATGTTTTTAATTTCTCTGAGGTATTTTCTCCATTTTAATTTTCATATCGAAAAAGTCCCTGCCACACGGATAGATACTAAACGATTCCAAAAAAAAAAAATTTTTTCGATATCCATCAATTCTGCGGCTGGCTGGAAAAAAATTGCACCACCCTAGTGTACATACATATGTATATGTACATATATCTTATGTTTTTTTCTACAAAAAAGGGAGAATTTTTAATACCAACATACACTTGTACATATGTATGTAAATATACTTTGATAATCGAAAAGACTTTTGTTAATTTGAAATTTTTTAATGCATTCGAAATGCAATTTTTACCAAACCAAATTTCCTTATACTTGTTTTGTTTAGGAAAATGTTATGATAGTAGAATAGTATACTCATATCTGAATATCGCTACGTGCCTCATATAGCGTTTATTCTAAATTATTATATACTCATTAAAAAGCTGGATATTTTCGACAACCACCACTGTCAATTAAAAACTTAGAAATGTCATTTATGTAATACGAGAGCATTAAATTTGTATATACATATAGCTGAAAAAATACAATCATACACACCATCACATAATATGTACTCTATGTCCTTATTAAAGAATAAAAAAAATTGTCTTCATTGATTAAACCAATAACAATACAAAAAAAAATGTCATATGGATGTCCATTGTATATATTTGTTATGCATGAATACAAACATACATAATTTACTATGTGTATTAAATATATTATGTACAGTGAAACCACGATATAACGAGCCTTGTTAAAAGAAAATGTGAAAATTTTGCAGAGGCGCCTAAAAAAACCTCGTTGTAGCGAAATTTTCCATAAAAAAATGCTCTATAGAGATAACGAAGAAATTTTGAGCATGAAAACCTTCGGAATACATTGATGGTTAAAATTTCGTTAGCAAAAGCACTCTGAAGCACCAACCCTGAATATTTTCACAGTTAGAGGTGAAAACAAGAAATTTTTAAGCAAAAAACACAATCAAATTCAATTCTCATAGAAAAATTTCGGAGTGTCATTACTTTCTTCATAATCCAATGAACGGAACTAAACCAAATTAGTATGGGATCACACTTGAAGGACCACCTCAACAAAATTTTACATTTTTCATTGTATCGAGGTTTTGATATTCTAAGTATAAATAGTACGAACCCCTTCAATTTCGTTGTAACGAGGTTTTACTGTATTATACAAATGTTTGTATAGCTAAGTAAGCTTATAAACGAACTAGTAATTGCACACAAGCAACGAATTTCGTAATAAAACAAAGAGCAAATAAATATTTCGAATGTACGCGACGACTTCACAATCTTTTCAATCTAATTACCCAGAAGCAGTTGGCCACACAAATTAAATTGTTGTGGTATTAAATTTATAAATTTTGTATTTACTTTTGTGTTTAGTTTTTTTATTTTTTTTTTTGTAGCGTCAATGCAAGGAATGCATGTAATTGCTATAAATTTCGCAACGCGTCTAAGCAAATGGCAAAAAGAAGTTGACCTCCATAAACAAAAATACGCGTGGAAACGTTTCTACAACATTTGCGGTCGTTCAAATGCGAAATTCGAGCAAAATTTATGTTCCTATTGTAACTATGTATACATAGTAAGTTTGTACATTAGGGTTATCCAAAATAAGTAAAGACGGAATTTTACTGCTCTCACCTCTAGGATTGTCCCATACCGAAAAAATGCACCTGATTTTTTTTTTATCAAAAATTACTAGGGCTGCTCAAGGCTGTCAAAGTTTTCCATGTATTTTATTTGTATGGAAAAAGTAATTTTTCGTAGAAATCGTATAAACTTCTATAAAATCAATTGGCGTATTCAGAACGGTGACGTAAGTGTCTTATCGTCAGTGGCGGATCCAGCGGGGGGTTTTAGGGGTTAAACTACGTGTCAGTCAGTGGCGGACCCACGGCGGGTGTTTTAATATGGCGTATATGTATGTATAATATGGCGTCTATGTATTAAAATACCCCCCGTGGGTCCGCACTGATTGACACGTAGTTTAACCCCTAAAACCCCCCGCTGGATCCGCCACTGACTATAAGACACTTACGACACCATTCTGAATACCCCAATGGGGTGACCCATACATACCATACAACTTCGGCAGTTTTGTAGCCCATTCAATTTTAGACAAGTGTGAACACCCACAATGTATTTTATTGAAAGTATTGCCCATCGTTTGCTATGACCTTTTCCCGATTTACTGGCAATGTAGGATACCGCCGAATACAATTGATCGTCTTTGTAGACCAAGACGCTATCAAGCCAATTTTTGATACCTTCACTTAAAGTGAAGGAAGCGTACTCCCGTAAGGGCATTCTGCGTCTTGCGGAACCACTCATAGTCTGATTTTGCAAGGCCTGGGCTATAAGGCGGGTGAGAACATCCATCCGGTATCATGTGAGACATGCTGCGGCGCATTGTCATAGTGGAAGAACAATGACTCATGTCTGGTGTCCCATTCGGAACGTTTTCCGCAATCGCTCGCGTCAATAACATTAGTATTGTCTGCCTTCTGGTGCTTTGGATTGTCGTATGGAATCCAATGGTTTGTGTTCGTGGGGCAGCCAATTTCCGACTTTCTGGACCATACCAATGGTTTTCAAACGCAATGAAATGTCTTGTTGAGTGACGCCTAATACTGCCACAAGTTAATCTTGGGTTTGGCACAGGTCTTTTCAGACGTTGACTTACTGCTGCACTTTGTTGTAGGTCAAAAGCTGGCATAGTAATCGATTAAAACACCCCAGTGGGAAAAGTATGTAGTTAGTAATATATTTCGTTATATGTAGTAATATATTAACGTTTAGATTCTATTACTGTTCAATATGTTATCAGCATTCTAAAAGTCTCCAAAAAGTTCCAAAAATTGCAGATTAAATCACATAAATTTCTCGATATAGGTAATGCAAAATTGAATACCCAACTATTCTTAGGACTTTGCCGTGGGGAAAAATGCATTTTTGAAAGTAAAAAAGGTTGTATTACTGTTTGTTTTTTCGATTACCATTCATCACATTTTCCCACTGGGGGACTTTAAGATCCGGCTGTAAATGCGGAGGATATGCGTTTATAACGACAAAAATAACCAAATTAGAGAAAAATAAATTGATGAAAATCGATTTATAAAGAATTATTCTATCTGCTTTGCTGTTTTCACAGATTTAAACGCAATCTATGTATGTAATTTATTTTTTTACCTGTGGTGGCGTCTTAGCTAGAATGACCCATAAGTATTATACATACATTAGAAATGTTTTAAACAGTAAATTGTTGCCAAATTCTGCGTAGAAGTGCATTTAAGTATTTTTTTATAATAACTTGTTTACAAAATTAGTTTGTCTGTTGAATTGCTGGCTGCAGTAGCACAAGGCCACTCGTACAGAAGTAGTTGGTTGGCAGCTCCACAGCTGCACAAAAACACCACGTTTTGTACATATTTCTATATAAAGTTCGTTTGGTCAAATCGCACAAATTCTACAACAATTTCGTGAATTTTCCGAAAATGAGTTAGAAACTAAAAAAAAAACAGCTTTTCCTGCAAATCCTGTAAAACCTGCACATCGTGAAGCATCTGGAACGCAACTAATATATGTATGTATGCATAGCCCCGTGAACTTACACATATATCATATGCTACCCTGTCTTAAACACCAACAACTAAAATATATGTAAATACAATTTGTTCAGAATTCACACTCTACAAAAGATAAAAAAATGGCTTAGCAATATGTCTTGCCTTGGCAGCGCAATAAATGAACTTTCTTGTTTACTTTAAAAAAAAAAATTGAGCTGTTTAATTCACCTTGACAATGGCATACAAATATTAACCCATCAAATTGCAATTTTAAATGCATTCATACATACATGTATGTGTACATATATAAGACATACTTTTTTGTGAGAGAATGTACCTGCAAATGTGTGCATTTTAGAAAGTCGTATATGGTTTTTAATCACGTATCAGAATTATATTTCCGAGAAATAAACATTTATAATGGTAAAACTATAAAAAACCAAAAAACTGTGGCATGTACATTTGCACATTAGGGTGCAAAGCCAAGAAATTTGTACGAAAATTAAATCCTGATTTTCTTGTCCTTCATTTGTGAAGACTTGTCCATTTTCAATGCGAATAAACAAACGAAAGTTTTACTGCAGTGAATTTGGTTGAAAGGCGCAACTTAACTTAACTTAACATAACGTACGAATATAACTAACACTGGTAACGGTGATTTGAAGTTGATCAAATCACAAATCATGGAATAAATTTTATTTTTGTTCTGATTCGCTGGCCAATTTAAAAATAAAATTTTTTGTGATTATGGTAAATTGAGTTTAGGTCAAGTGAGGTGAGCTGAGGTAAGCTTAGGTGAGTTGAGTTGAGGTGAGGTGGGTTGAGGTGAGTTTATGTTGAGTTGAGTTGAGATAAGATGAGGTGAAGGGAGTTAAGGTGAAGTGGTTTGAGGTGAGTTAAGGTAACTTGAGTTAGGCTGAAATGGGGGCTGAAATGGGGTGAATTGAGTTGCGGTGAAGTGAGATGAGCGACATGATATAGCATCACATAAATTAGTCTTCAGTTTTATCTTTTTCTTTGTCTCTTTATATTTATTTTCATATGGTTCTTTAATTCAGAATTTCCGCTTCAAAAGTAAATTATGAAAAAGATGCAACTTCATTTGGTATTTTAACTCTTACTACATACTCAGAGTTAGAGACGGGCGTATTAGTGATTTTGGCTTACGTTATATATACTGAGGTTATATTGAGATTACCAAATCATGCTATAATGCTTTTCTAGTTTTCGGCAACGAATGTGCAACTAACAGAAAACAATAAATTTTAGAATGGTTCGTCCAATATGGCGGAGGATAATTTCTAAAAATCATTGAATTCGGCTTAAACTTGTTACTGGGGGTGTTTATGGTCGCTGGCGTTGAATGTGATGTCGGCTTTAAAAAATTTAGATTAGTACCTTGATGTATCACAAGCTCTCTTGCCATCAGGAATTTTTCATAAGTTTTTGAAAATTTACACCAGATTTGTTGTGAGAGACCCTAAAGCCCCCTAAATGACGTGAGCACATAAGAACATTAAAAGAAGTAATGCTTTCTGAAAACTAGCATTTTCGATATATGCTAAGACAAAATTTGTTAAGTTTTCAATTTAGTTCTCAGGTGAATAATCTTGTCGCACATAGTCATTATTGTATACACGAAATTCCTACTGGGCGTAAAATTATTCTTCATTCTTAGAATTATTCGCTCAGGTTTTAGCTACTGGCTAATACATACAAGACTTCCAAAAACGTTCAGGTAAGAAAATAGACTAATGGGCATTGAAGGTAAGCACCAGTGTGGCCAGGTGCGCCTTTTTGGAGTTCGAATTAGCAAGTGTTCTTTGTTTTTTTGTTTTAACCACGGAATTTTAGGTCTAGCTCCGTGAATTTTTCTTGTTGTTTTAACGATACTTTTTCATAAGTAATTGTCATCCTTTTAGAATTACAAAAAAAAGAATAACGTTTTTGTAGAACTTTCTTTTTACCGTTACAAATATTTTCCTGTTTAGACAAATAACTTTTGTCATAAATATACTAGGCAAAGTGAGAAACTTTTAAACACATTAAGGGCCGATTCCCCAATGTTTCGTTATCACTACCTCCTAGTTAAACATCGTTATCGACATCATAGACATAAATAAACATAATACAAAATATGAAAATGAAATTTAAACGGATTAACGAACTTAAAGAACTTTTGATGAAAAACAATGGCGACTTATTTGGCGCTTTTTCCAACAATTTGTCAAATTTTTTTCTCTCAAATATGGTACCTCATCGCTAAAGATTGTTGGCAGCCCGGTCGAGGACACCTCTTTTTGCCGACTGCGAACTTTTAAGGGAAATAATTTAAGAATTTAATTAATTTTTATAGGTGATGTTAAATGTTTGGGGCATAAAAGGGCGAATTTTACTTTTTGTAGCCAGTTCAAGTGAATTTTGTTAATTTATTTTATAATCATCTGGGCACACTGCAATTAAAAATTTTCCAAAACAACTTTGGAATTGCCAGGTATATCACAAAAAGGTCGAAACTAACAACAACTAGAATTTTTGTTTTGGAAATCGCTGAGCTAATCTGTACTGGAAGCAACTCGTGCCTGAACTGGTATTTGTTAAATCACCAAGCTATGCTCTCTCCGACGCTCCCTCAAGAACAATCGCAAGCAATTTGGGTTTTTTAACAAACAAAAAAGAGTATTCTCCTCGCCTTTACTGGAAAGCGAGGCA